AAACATAAAAGTTTGAACTTACAATCATTCATTTTGAATAATTGTTTGTGTCATATTAAGCAAACAATACATATATTGTGTATGCATAAAAAGCGAGATGTTCTACAGATAGCAAGCTACTAAATGATTTAAAATTGAAAAAATTAAGTTTCTTATCGATTTTATTTTGGTTTAAAACGGCGAAAACAAACTCGCAGTCCTATTTGCGAGTACTATTGGGCTAGATAATTTGGGGTTGAATGCTATAATAACGTAAAATTTTATTATTATTTTAGACTGGCATTTATTTTGGATATCAGTTAATGTATAGTTTGACCCTGAGGCTGATATCTCATGAATATATTTGTCATATTCTACAACTAAATGACATGCAATTGAGTACTACGGGTGGTTTGAATGTATTTAAAAAAGTAATGTAGTAATGTCTAATTATTATTCAAACTTTTTCAAGATTCTTTTATCTTCTCCAAACCTATAGAAATTCTATTTATTATCCAAACGTATTGTAACTGATCAAAGTCTGGGCATTCATTATGTTGCTGTTACTTATTTCGTAACGAAGCTCCACGTAAACATCCACATCAGCGTACACGTCAGAAATCAATATTTAAATGTATTTTATTGTTATAAATTTAAGGATAATGTCTATTTATTACCCAAACCTTTTCCAGATTCTTTTACTTTATTCAAACCTATTGGAATACTATTTATTATTCAAACCTATTGGCCTCGCGTCGGAAGAAAGTTGAAGGGATGAGCGGAGCTAGGGCGAAGTGAAGATGAATTCTTACTTGTTGACGATGCTATCGTCATCGTCGCCTCTGCCTCGAACGTCATCCTTTTCTCTTCTACCAGCGACGGCCCGACCGAAGGGTGACATGGAGTGGATGAAGGGATTGATAGATGGACGGGATGGTGGTCATATGAGCTTGTTAGGTTCGTCGATATGTCAGGGTGTACGAAGAAGAAGAAGAAGAAGAAGAAGAAGAATGGAAGGTCGGGGAATATGCAGGAGAAGGTTTTTTTTTCATTTTCTCATCTATTTTATGATTTAATTAGTTTTTTAAATTAAAAATAAAAATGATGGGATGGTGACTGCCACGTTGGCATCCAACTCAGACTCGTGATGTTGAGTCAACAATATTAACAGAATTGTTAACGATGAGTTAATGTTTGGTTAATAAATAGTATTCCAATAGGTTTGGATAAAATAAAAGAATTTGAAATTTTTTTTGGGTAATAAATAGACATTACCTGTTTTTAATTAAAAACATATGCCCTCTCAAATCGCCACGTTGGCTTGCAGCTCGGACTAATGCTGTTAAGTCGACAAACGTAACGGAACATTTAATGATGGGTATGAGTTAATTAATAAATAGAATTTCGATAAGTATGGATAAAATAAAAGAATCTTGAAAAGGTTTGGATAATAAATAGATATTACCCATTTATAAACAAGACAATTATGCTACAGGTTCCGTAAAAAACTAGACAATTCGAATTGTATGCCTCTATCTAGACAAATGAAATTGCATAAAAACAAATCAATTTTAAATTCCTAAGTCAAATAGCTTTATTCAATTTTATGATGTCAAATTGAACAAATTTGATTTAATTGTCTCAAAACAAAATAGTTGGGTAGAATTGATTTGTCAGAATTTTTCTCTTAAACATGATAAATTAAAAAACTTACTTTTCTTTAGCAAAAATCATATATTGATTAAAAGAATAAACAGTTACATCCGGGAGTTCAGCCAGGTCTATAAATAAATAAAAAACTTCATGGGCTACCCTATTGTTACACCGACCTACAAATCGAACACTAAACAATGCACGATTTCTTCAAGAATAGCCCCCATCCAGTTATCTCAGATATCTGCCTAATTGATCTTCTCAATAATGACCTTGGCATCGCCTTCGAACCTCATTCCGTGAATCCATGGCTTAGGCACCACATAATAGTCTCCCTGAGCACAAGCAGTTCGACCACCATGGGGTCATCAATCAATGGAAATTGAATCTCTTTAGCCAAAACGATTTCCCTAGTTGGATTCATAATAACCATCCTACCGGCCGAATGAGACCCACTCCTTGTAGCCCCATCCCACATACAAACAATCATAGTAGTCCCACCAGGACCCAAGTGCTGTATCAACGGGACGAAAGACCGAGGTATGAAATCTACTGATAAGTTTATCCACTCCTCATATTGCTGGTTAAATTGACGCATCATGACAGGGATCCCAAACTGTTTACCCTCAAAGACAACCCAGTTATGAGACCGCCAGATCCTCCATAGGATGGCAACAACTGCCATGAATAAAGAAGGTTGGTGTATTAATGACATCAACTTTTTAAGAAAGAGTGGGAATGTATGACGAGGCAACCTTTGACCAAGATATTCCAGACCCGCATAGTGCCAAATGGCCCGCACCACTGGGCAATAGAGAAAAAAGTGTTCCATTGTTTCTGAGTCTGCCCAGCAAACTGGGCATCTGGGGAGCATATGAACATCCTGCTCTCTTAGGGCTTCCGTAGTTGGTAGGATTCGGTGGCATATTTGCCAGACAAAAACTTTCAATTTGGGCGGAATATTAGCCTCCCATAACCGAATCCAGCTGGTTTTATCCATCCAACTAGCCATGGACCTCCAACGCCCACTTTGCTTGTCAAGTGAGACATCAAAATGGTAAGCCGAATTAACGGTGAAAACCCCATCAGCCGTGTCATGCCAAATCAGTCTATCCTACACATTCTGACGCAGCAGATGAATAGATTTGATGGCACGAGAGGTAGGTGGGTCAAACCACTGACTGAGTTTTAAGTCACACCAGCTCCCTTCCCCTGACTGATAACCTCAGCTACTGGCGGGTGACCCCCGTCCAGTAACACCTAGGGACTATACACTAGGGGCCAGGGATGTAACCGAGGAACCCAATTGGAATGAAGTAGAGAAGAAGTCTCACCATTCTCAATTTGCCATCTTAACCCCATCTCCAACAACTGCCAACCATAGAGGATACTTTGCCAGCCCCACGAAGGGCGGGAGTGAGCCATGGCAGTGAGGAAGGTCCCATTCGGAAAGTACTTTCCTTTATAAACCTGGGCTAAAAAGGAGTGAGGTTCATTGAGGATACACCATCCAATTTTGGCTAATAGAGCATGATTAAAATGTTCAAATCTACGAAATCCTATACACCCATCATGTTTACTTCTGCGCATATTGCGCTAGGATATCCACCAAATCCTTGACTGGCCCTCTTCAACACCCCACCAGAAGCTGGCAACGTGTTTGTCTAGGAGCCGACACAGACACAGAGGTAGCTTAAAACATGACATAACATGCAAAGGAAATGCTAAAGCAATTGATTTAATCAAAGTTTCCTTAGATGCCTAAGATAATGTCCTCTATTTCCATCCCTGAAGTCGCCCAATCAACTTATCCTCCAAATATCGGAAAGTAGCCATTTTAGATCAAGTAATAAGCGTTGGTAATGCCAGATATTTTTCATGGACCCCCCACCGCCTCGACCCTGATAATCTGAGCTAAGAACTCTTGGCCTGGTAGAGCAATATTTTTACTAAAGCAACCTGCTGATTTGGCCAAGTTCACCTTCTAGCCACTGAGTTCCTCATAGTCATTCAAGACCTTGATCAAATTCTCACATTCCTGGAGAGATCCACACAGGAATAAATAAGAATCATCTGCAAAAAACAGATGTGAGATCTTGGGAGCTCGAGGGGCCACTTTTACTCCTTCAAGTTTTTTCTCCGAAATGGCCTTACAAAGAAGCGCAACGAACCCCTCCATGCATATTACAAACACAGAGGAGAGAGAGAATCCCCTGTCGGAGACCTCTAGAAGGAGAGAAGAACCCAGAAGGGGTGCCATTCATGAGTACCAAAAACAACGTTGACCTGAGGCATTCATGTATCCATCCTCTCCAAACTGAGTTAAAACTTAAAACCCATCTTATCCAAAACTGCAAAAAGAAATGGCCATTCGACTCTATCATAGGCCTTTTCCATGTCAACCTATAAAGACATGTACCCTTTATTTTTACGGATTTTGATTTTCAAGTAATGCATTAACTCATGTCCAAGGAGGATATTCTCAACTATTTATCATTCACGGATAAAGGCATTTTGACAGTCCGAAATGATCTGTGGTAAGAGGCAAGCAAGCCTTTCAGCCATGATTTTGGTTATAACTTTATAAACAAACTGGCATAAGCTGATTGGGCGTAGTTGTCTCATAGTCTCCATGTTATCCACTTTAGGGATCAATGTGAGCCAAGTATGATTGAAGCTCCGGAGCATCTTACTCGTTGTAAAGAACGAGCAGACTGCTTCAATCACCAAGCTTCCCACAATATCCCAGAAGGCTTTAAACAATTTTCCAGTGAAACCATCAGACCCCGGTGCCTGCTTAGATCCCATGGAAGAGACCTTTTTTCTTACTTCATTAGGGAGGACTTTCGCCGTCAGACTGGCATTCATTTCCGGTGTAACACTATAAGCGATGGGAAGAGCAACCACCGGATCAAAACTATTAAGCATATGATTTTCCGAGGTAAAAAGAGTCTGATAAAAATTATTGGCAGAAGATTGAGCTTACAACCACTGCATTTCAACACATTTGGCCATGTACCGACATGAGGTAAACTGCTGCACTTGTAAATTTTATGTTATTCTTCAATTGTAATCAGTTTACATGTTTTAATGCAACGTTTTGGTGTTAATTGCATGGTAGATAAATTAAACTGGAAAAGAACCTGATCCAATCGAAATGTTCAGACGTTTCCATGTGAAGGACAAAAATTAGGTTAGCTCTAAGGCAAAAGACCTGCATGTAAGTCCAATACTGTTGGCTACTTTGTGCAACAATACATGCTATTTTTTTTATATATATGTTAGATGTATTTACCTCTTCATTAGAATGTTTGTACAAGTTTTTGTTGTCTTTTTTATCGATATTAATGTTATTTACCATATGATTAGGATAGTATGATAGAAGCAGAGGCTGAAAAGGTATCCCAAGGGGAAGAACCAAGCATATTTGCCATCTATCAAGAAGTGATAGGATCACAATGCCCCAAGCGTGTTCTAGGGATCAATGGGTATCATGGGGTGAGCTCGGTTGATGTCTTCGGTCCCCCATCGAGTCAGGGTTGCAACAAGCGTTGTCAGGAGGAGCGAACCAAAGAAAGGGAAAAGAATTATGAGAAAATTAAGAAGTTGGAGAATGAGATCCTAGATGTGAGGAATGCAGTCCCTCACATCGTTGAATCTATGTTGCAGAGGCCAGAGGCTTGGAGTGCGGTTGCCAGAGTCATTCGTAATTACTTTGCTGCCATGTTTTCTTTTGTACTTCTTACATAATTTTCGATGCTATGTAATATGGGCATTTAAGTTAATATACTTGTTATATTCTCTATAGGATATCAACAATGAAGCCAACGGGGAACATGGTCGAGTTAGCGAAAGTTAGGATAACGATGAGTTCGACGACAAGTCCGGTGAGGAGACTGCTGCTGCTTCATGAATTTATTTTAATGTTACCGTAGGATTCTAAGTAGGGCTTGAATTTTGGGATATTTTGTGTCTTTTTTCGAGGGTGTTAAGACTTATGAATTTTGGATGTTTGGTCGCAGCTGGTGGCTACTTGATTGACAGTTAATATAAGTCAATTTTGGAATATTACCTTCTACCGCATCTCCCACACTTCCTCTTCTTTTTCTTATGTTGTTTTTTAGCCTTTCTTTTTCTACATCCCTTGAACATCACTTTTTGGGGTTGAGGACTCTTTCGAACTCCTTAGGTATTACCATCGATTCCCTTTCAGTCGGAGTTGTTCTCATCATTTCCAACTTGTCCCTCACTGCTGTCAACCCCCCTCGAGCAACCTGGAAAGATAGAGGAGTCTCTGCCCCCATTAGGAAAATATGTGTAGCCAAGAACTGGAGTGACCCATATATGGTGTTGAAAGAATGATCATCCCCCAACTTACGTGGCGGTGGCATATTGTCTATTGACTTTGGGTTCTTTGAGCAACGTTTAAGTACCAGTTTCCCAGGAAGACTTTTCACTCGTTCTTCTTTCAACACACAGAGCATATGAGTGCAGGGAATTCCAACACTGTTAATTTTTTACAGCTGCACTCCATATCCTTTGTTTCAAGGTTGCATTTTACCTCCACAACCTTCTGTTTGTTGAACATACTTAAACTATAGGTGTGTATGTTTCCATCCTCAGATTGAGTGTTCTTTATGCACCCAATAACCTGCTCTAGTTCACTTCTGAATTTAAGAAATGCAGCTTTCGAGAACAACTTAACTGCACTTTCTTCAAGGGGTCTAAGCATGGTGCTCTTTAGCGGGGTTAAACCATAATTAGATTTAAAATCTAATTTGATCTCTGTTTCCCTCAAATCCCTACACCAACGGTCATACTGAATGAAAAAGTCAAGCAAACAGCGTCTCTCCTCCAAATATCTTCCAACAAATGAATTTATACCTTCGTTTCTTGATGTGGTTGTCAGCCCAGCAAAGTAGTGGGAGCGCAAGTATGTGTCCACTCATTCTCCGCGTCTCCCAAATAAATTTTTAGTCACCCATTGGTTGTTCTGTAGACCACATTTTTCCACTAATGCCTTCCATTTCTCTTCAAATTCTTCTTGCTCATAATCAGCAGTTACAAATGTGCTCCATTGGGGTTCGAAGTCAGGGCTATTCTTCACCTTGCCCTTGATATTCTTTGAAAGATGCCATGGACAAAGCCGGTGTTGCATCTAGAAACACAGTAGCAATATCATTCCTCATTGCTTTATCCCCGTCTGTTACAACTGTATGCAAGTCCTTTCCACCCAACATTTCCTTCAATATCTCCAAAGCCCACTTGTAGCTCCCTTCAGTCTCATTAGCTAACAATGCACTCCCAAATAAGCAACTCGTGAAATGATGGTTGATACTTGAAATAGCAAGTGCTTCTCAACTTGTTTAGAGATTATAAAATTGAATATACGAACCAAAGGTGTGTACCTGTGAAAATAACAAGAGGCATATTGTAAATATTTTTTTGTATGTCGTGTCAAATGCGAGCAACTCTCCAAAGCACGAGAGGTCGGCTATGCTCATACTGTCTGCCCAGAATAAACTGTGGAGCCTATCTTCCTCATCAGTAGTGTATCTGAGGATGAAGTGTGTGTCCGTACTTTTCTTCGATTCAAGATAGGCTAGTGCGGCTGCTGCATCACTAGGACATAGCCTTTCATTGTGATCTCGGGTGCTGAAATTCATCCCATATTTTACTGTGTACCCAACTTTGTCATGTCCTCCAGCACTATGCACAACAAGCTTTATGATTTGAGAAGGTTTCATACCTGCATTCTTCTTAAATCTAAAGTCTGCCTTGTCAGCCTCTGTTAACCCTCGTTGTGATCTCAGGTGATGAGTACACTGTCGATTAATTGGCATATGATTGTGATCTTCTTTAAATATATCCACTATCCATTTTGAATCATTCTTGTTAAATGCCACACGCATTTTTGCTTTACAACCAAATCTGGTCTCCATAGGGGAGTCTCTCTTTTTCTCTCCTTTGTTGGGGGCTCTATGTCCCTCACAAGAACAAACGAAAGCTCCAGTAGTAACCTCTCCCTTGCTGTTCTGAACTTTCTTTGAGCGCCTAACAGAGAATCCCCGAGCCCTTGCATAATAATTTTAGAAGTTGTAAGCTTCTTCGAAGTCGTTAAATATCTGGCCGATTTTAGGAGGATCTAAAATCACATCTTCGATCCGAGTCGTTTCTCCATTCGGAATGCCATTGCGTGTTTCTCCTGTTTCCTCTAAATTCTCAAGGTCATCTTCGATGGCACTGTTACGAGGATGTTCTTCTTCTTCCATCGATACAATGGCTGCAAATTTCTTTGGTTGAGGGTCTCGGCAGAGTGGGATACTGACTATAGGTGGTTTGGTAGGGTTGCAGGCGGCGGAACATGTATGTACGTACAAGAATTATGCCCAACCTGCTGTTGGAAACATATTTTCAGCCCTCTGTCGTTTTGTCTTTGTTAAGAATGATTATTTTAGTACTTAAATTCAAGTTAGTTACATTATTATTTTAATACTTTTGGTAGCTTAATCTTCCACTTTAATTAATGATTTGTTAATTGAATTTCTAAGTTCATTTAATAAAGTAGATAAATATTACACTAATTTTAATTAATGATAAAAGATTTTCTCGTATAGCTTTAATAGAATTTTCTAATTTAACTTAATATGGTAGATAAATATTACACTTACCATAAAGATAAAAACACTCTACATCCCCCATATTAAGACGTGTGAACCCTCTTTATGATTTCAGGAATACCCAGCTCTGTGACGGCAGGATTAGAAGAGCACAGTTCCGCACCATTCTGTGAAGCTGGAACAGAAGAGGACCATGGGAAAGCCAGGGTAAGTCAATTATATACACGAGGAAGAAGGGCACCATCGTAAAGTCTCTCTTTCTTATAAATTCCTCGTCTATTCATTATGATTTCTTTTTTATCTCAGGGACAAGAACAAGATGCAGAACGTTACGGGCAGCGGGATAATGACAAGATCAAAGGCGCGATCTTCCGTTATAATGGTTTGTCAGTTTACATGTTTTCCATATCTCCATCGTTGGCAGCTTATTTTTCGTTAAAAACTAAAGAACGGCGTTTGTTTTTATTACTATGAATGTAGGAGCCGGAGAAGGATGCATCTCCGGTAAAGAAAGCTAGAATTGAAGTCGGTGTGATCCCTCCATCGACTCCGGGATCAAATATGATTGTTCTTGATGGCGAATCGAGGGGAGATGGTAATGCTTTTGTTTGGAAAAGCCGTACATTATTTTCTTCCCTGCAATTCACCGAAAAGGTATTTTTATCCACCCCACTAATATTTTTCTGCCATAAAACGAAATCAGTGGTTTATATTTTTATCGAACCCACTAATATTCTTTCATCTTCTATTGCAGGCAGAAACTAAGTTTAGGCTGCCTCACGATGTCAACTACAGTGAGGAGGAAATCAAACTTTCTCCCTACATATTTGCAGCAGACCTTCCGCTAAAAGAGGTCTTAGTCGATACCATGATGAAATCCTATACACGAAAGGCGCTATGGTCCCTCTGCCATAACTCCAATGTTGATGTTGATGTAAGTTTTAATACGAATTATTGGCAAATTTTTTAGTAAGGCAGCAGATAAGGAACCAAGTTTACATGTGCTTTCTTTGTGCTTGTATCTGCTATGTTCCACCTGGCTTCTGTATCTTCTTCTTCTTCCACCTGGATTCTGTTTCTTTGCCTCTTTCCACCCAGCTTCCTTAACTCCCCTAGTGTTCCCAAGTTACTAATAATGAGCAAAAAAGACAAGGAACCAACTGTATATGTGTCTTTCTTTGTACTTGTATCTAGTGTAGGATGGCGTTTGCGTCTTTCAATTCTATCAAAACAATCAAAATGTTGATCTTCTAATATGCTTTCTTTGCTTCTCATTTTCAATAGAGTTAGTAACAGATTGCACCTTACCTCTCTTCTTACCGTTCAACTCGTATAATATCAATCTCATAAAATTTGTTCAACCTGGTTGGTTGGTGTATCAGGTAATTACAACAATGACTTGCCACTTGACCCTGGACGAAATTTCGATGGATGCTGGCCATGGAAGAAGAGTATGTTTTCTGCCTACTGAACTGCAGGCACATATTGATTTACCTTGTACATTTATTTTAGGTGAAATATATTGTTTTTTCTATGGTATATAATGAACGTTTAATTATGCTAATTTAATCAAATCATGATTAGGAAATGATACTTAACTATGGCATGACACCGAAAAAATATTTAGAGTGTTACGGTACAAAGTTTCTCACAAGAGCTCACACCTGCAGAAAGGTTTTCTTCTGCATTTCACTTTTGGCTTCCTCATTAATTGTTTCTAGCTATTGTTTGAAGGTATATGTGAATAATTTTTTCTCCAATCAAGCTATTTAACTTTTTCATAACTGGAATGTCAAATATGGTCTACTGATTTTGATCTTTCTTGTCGTAATGTAGTTGTGTCTGCCAATGAATGATATGATGCATGATGATGACATTCATTGGTATTTAGTTTTCATCGTGATGGATGAAAAGCAAGTCCATATCTTAGATTCATATCCTTCTAAAGAGCGCCAAACACCTCGTAAAGATGCAGTACAAACTATGGTATGGTCAGAATTAGTGCGTGGAATACGATTATATTTGTGAACTGGATTTTTGTTCTCTACTATTTGTAATAAAGTTACTCCTTATGTAGATTGGATTTCTCGATGCCTTGTTTGAGGATCTTTATTTACAAGTGGAACAAATGTGTGATCCCCCAGTGATGAAGTAGTTCTCTTTGACAATTCCTTCAGTTCCTGAACAACGTCACGAGTAAGAATCATTCCTCATGCATAAATTCGGAAACATACTTACATACTCACAACTCATATGCTTCA